AGCTGTGCTCCATCTTATATATGAAGAGACGGAGCCGATGAAAAAAGCCCATTTGGAGGAAGATATGGATTGTTTTTTATTATCCTGAAGTTATTCACCATTAGTCATTTTCTTAGCAGATGTCTTTGTTTGGGTATTAAAGGCTATTTATCATTTCATTATTTATACATTTTCATATAGTTAGACAAAGTAGTGTTAACAATCTTTCATTTGTCTTACCTCTGTTCTGCAGGTATCCAGTGGACAGGTATTTTTCCACATCTTGGTTAAAGGCTTCTTCGTAGACTTTCTGTCGCTCTCTCAGTTTTTGCTGCATGACCAGCTCCAGCTCTGCTACTTTCTGAGCATGCTCAGAACCCAACTCCTCTACAAAACAGGAAGAAACGCAGCTTAAACAACATCTGCTGGTATTGTACCAGGTTTACCATTGTTGAGAATAACATGTAAGAAACTGGAGGATGAACACGCAGAAACTCACCTTCGAGTAATTCCAACTCCCTCCTATTTACAGAAAGGAAGATTTTCATTAATCACCCAAACATTTAAGGTCATTCTGTTTCTCTGACCGTTTAAATAATGTGGTGGCACTTCTGCTTTTTCACTTTGAATGTAATTAGTTTAATCAGCCTGACAGGAGTCACAAAGACACTCAAAAATGACAGCCATAAATCTAAGGCAATACATTTCACTGATGCCTGCCTATTTCTATATAAATGGTCTGTTTTTGATGTTTATAATTACATAAAGATCATTTTATCACTTTTTAATTCAGTTTGATTTTAATATCTCACATATAAAGGTTTTTCATTAAGAAGGAAAAATAAACTGTCATACCTTTTTTTTTTCTTGTAGTTTTCTGATTGGTTGATATGTTGCTGTTTGGCTGTCTGCTGCTCACACTGCAAACACAGTGCCTCCAGGTAACCCAGTCTGCTCTCCATTTCCTCAAAGTCGCCTTCCAAATGAGCTGGAAACAATCGCACATAAACACCACAAAAACCTGCATCTTTGTTCCATTTGGTCAAAAACACTGCCCATGTGTAAAAAGTCAAATTCTGTTGTCTTTGTTGGCCAGATTGTTTCGGTCACTTTAATATGAGCAGTGCAGGAAGAGCTGCTGGAAAATGTGAAGCCATAAACTGCATGTCCTTGGAATTACTGATATACTAAGGTGCTCACATACAAGTTGCTTTTTAATACAATCTCTGTTAATAAGACTACATTTAACGTATTGTTATCATCCCTTTACTAAGTTTCTCTCATTGCTTAAGTCAGGTTAACAATCTAACAAATTTCCCACACGTGGACTAATAAAGGTTTATCTTATTATTTTGTATCAACACTCGACTAAGCTTCGTAGCATAGCTGTCAGACCTCGGTGTAAAGCATTACTCAACATGGAAACTTGAGGTTTTGTGTTCAATCCTTAAAGTAGAAGCTCTAAACGCTGAGGCGGCTGACATCATATCATCATCTGACCCGCTGACTGTCATCTGACCACAGAAATGAACACGAACCTATGTTAGCAGTGATGGCATCAAGATCGCTGATAAAGGCTGGCAAGCTTTGCAGTTGTTCATGCAGTTGTGTTAGTGACGTCATTTTTCTCTCCCAGTGTGCTGAGAGCATCACTATGTCACCATCCAGTGCCTGAAACAAACAGAGGGGTGACCGTGAGCAGACCAGAGGCAGTAGGAACTGTTAGGTCGTCTGTGATCGCCGCCGGCACAAAACCACAGGCTATCTAACTGTTAACTAACTGAATATAAGCAGAGCTGATTCAGAGTCGTTGTTTTTATTTTTCAGGTTGAAGTCACTCTGTGTTGTCCTGCAGCCACTTCCTTAGTTGTAATCTATGAATTGCTAGAAATCACTGTATCTGTGAAGTGCTGAGCTTAAAAAAATGATAAAGAAATACAAACATAAACATTTATTTATGCCGTTCTACTTTTAAAGAGCCTACGAACTGGTTCTGGATTTAACAGGAAGCCAAAACAGGAGAAATCTGCTCTCTTTCTAGTCCCTGTCAGGACTCTTGCTGCAGGGAGTTTGTAGGACTTCCTGATAATAATGAATTACAGTCGTCCAGCCTGGAAGTAATAAATGCATGAACTAGTTTCGACTTTCACCAGTGTTACTGTACAATAACAATAAAGAGCTAAAACTATAAGTCTGATTAATATGATGAATGAGAATGTAATGAAAGATGAAAATGATAAGAAGACCAGAAGCCTGGTTTTAAGAGTTCACAGTTGGAAATTTCAACAGACTAGAGACCAAAGAAAAGCCATCTGGTGTCCGTATTTGGTTGGACATGTTTCTCAGATTTTTAGTAACCTCAATCACATGTGCATTTAGAAGCAAAAGTGCAGGTCTCTACATCTCTAAGACATTCCTGCAGTTTAACTAATTCATGTGCATCATCTGGCTTCATGGACAGATAGAGCCG